GTTTTTAGTCGCATCAGTCTTCATTTTTAGTCGTATCAGTCGACATCATTTCTCTATCGTTCACATGCATTCTCTTTTTCTCGTTTCTCCAAATATGTACTTCGAAAATCCTAATATATCCAACAGCAAGATCAGTAGCAACCGGCTCAACAAGACAAGGATACTGGACATGAAGGGTACCATGTCGGCTTTTGGTCTCGGGGTCAACAATGGGATCAGGCTCAAGGTCGACTGATGAGAGATCAAGGGTACCATGTCGGCTTTTGGTATTGAGGTCAACAACGGGATCAGGCTCAAGGTCGACTGATGCAAGATCAGTAACAAACGGCTCAACAAGACAAGGGTACTGGGAATTTTCCTTGTCAAGGGTACCATGTTTGCCTTCAGGCCCGAGGTCAACTGATGCAAGATCAGGGACAAAAGGCTCAGCAAGGCTAGGGTATTGAGATTGTTTCCTCTTCAGAGGTGAGACGTTTGCCATGATGACTATCCCATTGCCTATTATTGGACAAAGTTGGATAAAGATTAGCATCTAGATTAATGCCCCAATCAAATTCCTCAGCTGGTGAACGTCTAGATGGCTTGGAGACAAGAGGCTGTGGGATGGTGCGGCTGCGGAACACGATGAATGCGCTGGAGGCCCTGTATGTATCAAAATCATCAGGGTCAATGAGGACACAGTTAGTCAGAGTGACTGGGTCCTGAAGCACAGTTTCTCGTTGGTAGATGTAGCCACGGATCCCATGGGGATATGCCTTAAGAGGTTTCGGCACATCCCAAAGTACATCAGGTTGTGGGTCACCGTTAGCATCACGTGGCTGACTGACAGGATACTGTAGTCTGTCAATATCAGCATCATCCATGCCAACAAGGTCGAGTGAAGGATACTGCCAGCACTGTGCGAGATGAAGGATACTGCCAGCACTGTAGCCAAAGACAATTTCCAGGATGTACACAAGACTAGTTTCAAGATGTCCAGGTTGTAGGACTTGAGACGGGTTGCGGTTTGTTGTTGAGTTGCCAGCAGTGGACATTGTCACTCATGTGCCTGATGGTTGAGTAGTACTAGTGGCGGGGAGTTGAGTGTTGTTGGTGTCAATGTTCAGAGCTTGCAATTCTCGTTGACTCAGAGGAATGGAACTCAGTCGAAAAAATAAAATACAACAACAAGCCTGAAGGTCTGTTTCCTGATGTGTTGGTGTAGGACTGCAGGGTTGGGCGCACAATTGCCCTTTCCAGATCGTTATACTTCTTGATTTGCACCAAGAAGGTGACCTCTCCTTTTCGAGACTTCCACCACAGAAGCTATTCAATCAAAAAGGAGAAATCGAATCCCTTGCTCCGTTGAAAACTCCTGACGACAAGAAGGAGGTGAACAGGGGCAGCACGAGCTGGCAAGACTCAGCGCTCTCTTGAATTAAAGTACTCCAAATCGAATGGCAAGGGCGATAGGGCCGCACAATGCCAACACTCCACAATAAACCGAAATAAAACTCCGAGTCGTCGTGGGACCAAAACTTGAAAAATAAAAATATCTCGTTGCCAATCGTTGACGAGTTCTTCACTCAAACTGAAAAAGTATGGGTATGTAGACCCCAAAGAATTATTCAATTCGAGCGGTGGAAGAGGATGGACTTGATGGGAGCCCAAAGTACTTGCGATCCGCTGAGAAAATCGATCCGCAAGTTGTTGTGTTGTCCGCTTTTGATGGGAAGACGGATTCGGAAATGTTGATTGTCTTCGTCTCTGTTGGGAGACGAGATCAGCGAAATTCTGAAGGACAATCGCTGCAGTTAGCTGTGTGTGTGACTGCGAGATTATGAGCTTATGAGCTTGATGAGAGCTCAGTAACTTGCGAAAACGCTGTGAAATCCGATCCGCAAGTTGTTGTGTTTTCGTCTTGTGATGGGAGACGAATTGGGCGATTTCTGATGGGGAAATCGCGACAGTTAGCTGTAGGCGTAACTGCGACTGTTAATCTGACAGAAATAAATGAATATAGACTATAAGCCTAAAGTTGACTAGTTTCTACAAGTTGATCGATATCAATTCAAGTAAAAAGCATGCAGTGAGAAAAGCAATTGTTTATCACTTTTCCACGCAAATTTCTGCAGGTGTTGGCTAGCGAAGGACGGACTGATCGGAACGCCAAAGTACGTATGCAAAGAAGGTACAGTAGCAGGACAGTGGAAAGCTACGTACCAAAGAGGTTGTGAAAGAAGTTGGTGAATGAGCTGCAGCTCAGTTGCAGCTCATTCCTTTTGAAAAGACTGCTCTGTATTTGACAGAGTGAATTTGAAGTCTAGGAATAGATAGTTATTAAGATTAGGAAAGCACACGGCTCTTCTACCTGTAACACCCATCATCATGACCATTACGGACTTCACCGTGCGCAAAAAGAGCTACCGCTATCTCACCACCCAGGCGAGCTATCCAAACCATGATTCCAAGGCGGTCCTCGATGCCTTTGATCCCACCAAGGACCTTCAGTTGCAAGATCTCAACAGCCTTGTCGAAAAGGGTGTACAAGGAGGCGCCCCCGCCTGGTACACGGGATGGCCCAAGGAACAGGTGAACAACTTTAATTTTTGGCATCGTCCAATGATTAGGTACACAACGGTTGGCGAAAAGAAAGAACAGCACTTCGATAAGTTGTACGTGCTGGACCATGACGTTCTGGAGAACGGGAGCGACCCACTGGCATTCTCTTGGCCGGCAAAGGCCTTCTCAAAAACCGATCCGATTAAGGTTCCAAAGTTGGAGGCGTGGTTGATAAACGAGGCGCTCGAGCAGGATCACTCCAAGCTGTTCGTGATGCCACTGACGAAGACCCTGAGACGGCCTACGACCTACTGGTTACACGCAAGCGAATGCCCATTCCCAAGGAGTTCTTGGATATCGCTTGGGACGGATCGTCGGCACGCGAAGTCTTGCGATTGGTGATTGACAGAATCAAGATTCTCGCCAACAGCGAGGAGCCTGAAAAAA